CTTTCTGTGTCATAGCCTCTTGGTTGAGGGTGTCAATGACGTCCTTCTGGACAGCAGTCAGGTCGGCAGTCTTACCCATGATTGGGGTTTTGAGTGATGAACCAGGCTGCGAGTTTTAAAAGCCTCAGGAATCTTTTGCAGGTGTTTAATTTGTTGATTCAGATGATTAGGTGCAGAGCTCATTTAGAGACCTTTTTCCCGATATGCTAATTTTGTGAGATGTATGCCAAAATCAGCCATATTAAGACAATAAAAGACCTTCAATATTTCAGTTACTGTGCAACGAATCTAAAAATATATCAATGTTCAATTTTTATCATTATATTATGGAAAATAATTAACTTTATCACAATATGCTAATATTTTGAGAAGGACCTGTATACTCTAGCTGTGCAGTTCCTCGGTGCTGGTTTCTCTTCTTTGTTACTTAACTCCTCTTGTGTTTTTTCCCCTGGCTTCTCCTGGTTTTTGGTTTCCTGTATTTGTTCATCTCATCTCTGCACTTCGTTGCACAACTAACTTCCACCAGACCTGACAGTCACAGTTTTTTCTATTAGGTGTCTCTTCTACTGTATTTACTGTTTACTTTTTATCTAATTGGTTGTGGGATAGAAGTAGAAAATAGGTTGAACTTACACAATCCAAAGCCCAGCAGCAGTAAACACTGAGAAGATAAGAGGCAGAAGGACCACCGGTCTGCAGCTCCACATTTTGGTGCTTATGACGTCAGAAAAAACCTGTATTACAAAACATATCAGCAATGAGCTTTTTGTTACTTTTAAAGCATAAACAGTTTGATCTGTTAGGAAGGCCTTCAGCAGCTGGACGACGCCGGCAGGAAAAGGTGTGGATTAACCAGCTGTTTAAACAGATACACAAACAGGCAAACAATCCCCCCAAAATCCATGTTAGGAAAGTTAAATAGGCTCTCAGCAGCAGTGCAACACTGCCAAAGCAGTGTTGTATAGTAAAGAAGTAAAAATACTTCAATACTGTACTTAAGCATATTTTGGAGTACTTTATACTTTCCAAGAGTATACATTTTTTTTTTTGAGAACTTTCACTTTTACGTCACTACATTTACTAACTTAATTGCATACTTTTACTCCGATACATTTTCAATGTTTGGTTTAGTTACTAAGTAAAAAAAAAAAAAAAAAAACGAGCGAGAGAGTGAGAGAAACGCGAGTGTTTTGACCCCACCTACTGACTACAAAGTCGGGTCTGGCCTCGGCTTGTTCATCAACACCAATAGGATACGCCTTCAAAGTTTACCAAAGTGTAAAAAAAGTCATTCAAACAGCACTTACTTTTCACTACATTACTTAAGTACATCTATTTTTACAGTAATTCTTATGCTTAAGTTCAAGCCATTTTAGATACTTTAAGACTTTTACTCAAGTAACATTTCAGTCGGTGACTTGGACTTTTACCAAAGTCATATTTTGGAGAGGTACTACTTTTACTTGAATCCGAGATTTCAGTACTTTATACAACACTGTGCCAAAGCAGAACCACAAGCAGCAGCAATAAAATACTCCTGTTCCCCATGGATTGATTTTTTTTCTTACCTCCCTTCTATGTGTTACTGTTTTCATAAAACAGGCTTCATTAGGCAAAGAAATTAGGATTATCCAGACTTTATCTTATATATTCTTAAAGCAGTTTAATGGATGTTTAGGATCATTTGCTGTTGAAACACTCATTAGTTTTTAACAGTTAAACCAAAACTGTGATGAAGGAAAATGCTTCCCAAAGTTTAGGAATCAACAATATCTTTGGTCAGTCATGAAAAGAAGATTCCAGAACATCAGAGCTCTGATATATGTGAATTTTGTTCCATCATTTCTAAACACGAATAAAACTTTTATTAAATGATTATTAAAAACATATAGGCCTATATATTTTTTGTAAATTAAAATTTTGAAACACAAAATCAATAAATGAAACTTTAAAAAAGTTAAATGAAGATAATGTTACTTTTCTGTTTTCTCAGCATATCTTTTTTTCTTTAAATGTATTTCATT